TTTTATTCATGCTCCGTCTCCAAAGCCTAAGGGAGTGCTGAGCCCAGGACGGTTCCAGGGAACCTCCTGGTGACAGACATGAGAAAGCTCCCCTTCCTCTGCAAACACTGTGCTGCGGGCTACGGCATGCCACGCCACTCCACGCCATGTGGCTTTCTTCCCGCCCCTCTGGCAGCTCTTGGATGCCTCTGTGGGCTCTTCCAGCTGACACACTGCCTCTTCTCTCCTGCTGACCTTGGTTAACCCTGCCCCTCCCTTCCCCCCGATTATAAAAATGGGGCCACCTTCACGCTCTCCCAAACAGGACTCCTCTCTGGACCCGGTCTTTATGTCTCAACCACTAACTCTTCTAGTTAAACACCCACAAAACCCAGCCAACTTCATCCCCTAAGCATCTCCGGAAACATCTTCTCTCCAGCCCTATCTGCACCACGCCCTACGAATGCCAACCTTTAGGAGCTCAAGCCGAGCCTGTCACTCTCCCACTGAATACTTTTCCCAGGTCCTGGGCCTGCTTGCTCCGCCCTCCACACTGGTCTGGTACTCCAGCCCCGGCTCTGGGCCCGTCCCTTTCCCCGTTTCCTCCTGGGACCTTCCCGGAAGGCCAGCAGTGGGTCCAGCGGGCCCAACTTTCCCACTACCTTCCCCATCCAAGCCCGGGGCCAGGGCTACTCCGCTCTCCCACACAGCCCCTGGCCAACCACATGAACCTTTGCTCCACGGCACTGACCATTCTGTCCCTCGGCCGTGGCCCCTCGAACCAGGGCTGCCCACCGCTGGGCTTCCTGAGGGTTGAGGAAGTGCAGGCTTAGGGTGCCAGGCCCTCCGGGTGGAGGCTGCAGCTCGTGCTGGCTGGGACCTCGGACGGTGTAGGAGACGGACTCCAAAGGCCACTCCAAGCTGACCTGGGGACGGGAGAGGTCAAGCTCATGCCTCTCCGCAAGCACATGCTACATGGGACGGAAGGCACCAGGTAGCGGGGATGGGCCACTGCGCCGTCCTAAGCGCTTTAAGGCTTCTCTTACGAAACCGCACAGCAGTCCTATAAACTACTATAGGACTGCCACCATTATCCCAGTTTACAGAGGAGGAGACAGAAGCGAGGAAGGTGGCCGGCTATGGGGAACTCCAGGGACAAGCGGAGGGGCCTGGCCGCCCCCACTCACCGCCCCGGGCCCCGCGCCCAGCAGCTCCAGCCGGAAGCGCCCGGGCCGCTCGGGGTCCGCGCTCAGCTGCAGCCTCCGTAGCTGCGCCTCAGCGTCCGGCCCGGCGGCCAGCGGCCTCACGACGGCGTGCACGGCCTGCAGCACCGTGGACGAACCCGGCTCCGAGGCCGCCGCCGCTCCGCCCGCCGGCGGCGCCATCTCCGGTCCAGCCGCGTCTCGGCCGTCCGACCTCGCTTCCGTGGGCTGGGACCGCCGGGCGCTTGTGCCGGCCGGAAACCGAGGCCGCGAGCCTCGGGTTCCGGATCGGCCAGCGGGTCGAAGCCCGAGGTGGAGGCGGGGGTGGGAGTGGGGGAGAGGGGGGGATTGGACCGCCCGGCTTTGCCCAGGATATACTCGGTCTAAGGGACTCGGACACGGGTGGTGGAGGCTGGGTCCGGAGGCTTGTAGGGCCCGGGCAAAGTGTAACGGACGGATGCGCCGGCCAAGACTAGAGGGCAGGCGCGGGTCCCGTCGCCTAAAGGCTAGGGCGAGCGGAGAGCTGCAGCCCAGCGGCCCAGGCCCCTTCCGGGGGTCGCCGCGCCCGCGCTCTGCAGCCCGGTCCCGCCCACGCCGCACAGATCCAGCAGCCTCTCCTGGGAACCAGGCGGCCACCGGGGGCGGGGCAGGCACGGAGCCGTGGCCAATGGGCGCTGGGGAGGAAGAAGGGTTCCGGCGCGAGAAGAGTGACGGACAGGTGCTGCAGCCAGTAGCTGTAAAAGACAGGACTGAGCGGCGGGTAACGTCCCCAATGGCTCTCCGAATTCTGAATCGCAGCGGCTGGAGCCGGCCATTCAGAGGCGTGGGGCCGGGCCTTGCGGGCGCTTGTTGTTGTCCGGCCGGAGGAGGCAGAGGTCGGTCGGTCGCTAGCTCGTTAGCTGAGGCGATCTGTGGCGGTCAGCGGGCAGGTCCATCGCGATAGTCGGACGTCGTGCAGGGGCGAGGGTATGTCGCGGTGGCAGCCCGGATCGGCCGGCACGGCCGGGAGTAACGGGATGTCGCCGCAGAGCTTCTTCCCCCGGATACAGTGCGACCCGAGCGGAGGCCGCGGCGCCGCCCTCCGATCCTGAGGAGCCCGCGCTGCCCGGAGCCCGCACCGACTTCTCACCCGCATCGACACCAACCGACTTGACTCGGCCTGGCTCTGCCCGGCCAGATAGAGCGAAAAGCAAGCAAGTAGGTGTCCGCCCGGTGCTGGGCGTCGTATCGGGGCCTCCAGAACTACAGACCCCAGCAGGCCTCGCGCCGGCCCCTGCGCATGTCTGAGGTGCACGGCCTTCTGGGATTTGTAGTTCGCCGCGGCTAGGCTGGGGTTCCACTGGGCCGGGCCGTTCCGAGGCCGTGAGCCCTCCCTCCGTTCCCGAAGAAGCTGGGCACACTTTGGAGAACGGAGGAGCCTACAGGTTTCCTCTTCCCCTCGCTATAAAGCAGCCCGCAGAGCAGGGAAGATCGCGTAGTCCAGGTGACCTCAAGCCCGAGCCCCAGGTGTCGGGGTTCCAAACCGGGATGGGGAGTGTTAAGAGACGAACCCAGCAGTCTTTGGGTGAGCAGGATCCCTGTGGGCCCCCAGCCTGACCCCAGGACTCCAAAGAGGTGCAGGGGGTGTGGCTGAGCTGGGGCCTGGACTTGCCACTCTCAGGTAACAGGATCTCATCGCCTGCTGCCAGTGCCTGGGCCTGGGCACAGGCTGTGGGAGGGGCCTCGCTTGTTTACCTGGGCTTCGTTTACCGGAGAGAAGGCTGCAGGTGAAGGGCCTGGGGCCAGACACCCATGGACTGGCCTCTGGTCCCCAGGGCAGCACCAGCCCCTCCGAGCACAGGACGCCCTCCCCAAGGACATGAAGCTGTTGGAGAACTCAAGCTTTGAGGCCATCAACTCACAGCTGACTGTGGAGACGGGAGATGCCCACATCATTGGCAGGTGAGGGTGGGGCTCTAGGAGCTGAGGCCCCAGAGCTCCCTCTGCCCCGGCCCTGAGTGGCACCGGGGGTGGCATGCCCCATGGTCCCACCTGTATCCACCGTGCAGGATCGAGAGCTACTCGTGTAAGATGGCGGGAGACGACAAGCACATGTTCAAGCAGTTCTGCCAGGAAGGCCAGCCGCACGTGCTGGAGGCCCTGTCCCCGCCCCAGACCTCGGGCCTCAGCCCCAGCAGGTGAGCCCGGGCAGGGCCTGCCCGCCGGGGGCTGTGGGGTGCAGGGCAGTGCTGGGCTGACGCTTGCTTCTCTGTGCAGACTGAGCAAGAGCCAAGGCGGCGAGGATGAGGGCCCCCTCAGCGACAAGTGCAGCCGCAAGACCCTCTTCTACCTGATCGCCACGCTCAACGAGTCCTTCCGCCCCGACTACGACTTCAGCGCGGCCCGCAGCCACGAGTTCAGCCGGGAGCCCAGCCTCAGCTGGGTGAGCCACAGCTGTTCACACCGTCCTCCCCGTTTTCCGTGGCCCCGACCCCTCCCGTGCCTGCCGTCCCGGCACCCGGTCAGCCGAGCTGTGCCCATCCTAGGTGGTGAACGCCGTCAACTGCAGCCTGTTCTCGGCCGTGCGGGAGGACTTCAGGGCCCTGAAGCCGCAGCTGTGGAACGCCGTGGACGAGGAGATCTGCCTGGCCGAGTGCGACATCTACAGGTGGGCTGGCGTGCCTGCAGTGGGCGCTGGGTGCGGGCGGCACCCGGGGCCTCACACCCATCTCACTCCACACTATCCAGCTACAACCCCGACTTGGACTCAGACCCCTTTGGGGAAGATGGCAGCCTCTGGTCCTTCAACTACTTCTTTTACAACAAGCGGCTCAAGCGGATCGTTTTCTTCAGCTGCCGCTCCATCAGGTTGGCGTCCGTCCCCCCCTCGCCCCCCAGCTTCCTGTTAGCGCCCACCCCACTCCTGACTCTGTCCCCTCGGGGGCAGCAGCAGGCCGGGGTGGGCAGTTCTAAGACTGCTCCCCCACGTCCCCCAGTGGATCCACGTACACACCCTCCGAGGCAGGCAATGAGTTGGACATGGAGCTGGGGGAGGAGGAGGAGGAGCTCAGAGATGGAGGCAATGAGGGCGGATCCGAGGAGACCAGCCCCATGGAGGACAGGTGTGTGAAGGTGGCGGCACACGGGCTGCCCGGAGCGCGGGGTGGGCAGGACGGGGTGGGGCCCTCTGCCTGGTCTCCCAGGTGTTAGCTCCTCAAGGCCACTGTGCCCCCCGCTCAGAGTCCCCGTGATCTGTATGTGAGGAGGAGAAGCAGAGGCCCGGCTTCATCCGGCGTTACCAGGGCCTGGACTTGCCCACCTGAGGGGCCCAGGGCCTCCCCAGTGGCTGGCCAGACCCTGGCACAGCTCCAGCTCCAGCGCTGCCCACCTCGCCCTTTGGTTCCAGCCTGCGGACGGCCACTCACCCCCCAGGCCCCGCTGCCCGCCTTGTGGCCAGACTGCACTGACAGCACGGGGCCTGGCGGGAACAGCCACTGCCCAGCCCCAACGAACTGAAGAGGCGGGACGGCTGGACCACAGAGTTTATTTTTGTATTTTGTACCTGGGCCTGCACACTCCAGCCCAAAGGGCCCGAGACCCAGCAGGCAGGCCCAGGCCCTCGGCGCCCACCTGTCCCCCCACTCGCCCACCGGGCAGCGTGCACTGAGTGTCACTTTGCTGCAGCTTGTTTGTTTCCAATAAAAGTTTATGTGACTTAACTGAGGCCCCGGGCTCTGTGTGGATGGGGGCGGGGCCTGCGCGGGGGCGGGGCCACGTCCCCTGGTATCCTAGCAACAGGCCGCAGGGGCTGTTAAGCCGCCTGGACCGGAAGCCGCCAAAATGGAGACCGAGGTGTCCGAAGCAAGCGACCGGCTTTCGGTGGAAGACAACCCCTTTTCGATGGAAGGCAGCCTCTTTTCCATGGAGGGCAACTTCCTGACTCTGGAACCCGACCTGTACGACTCGGACAGCGACGACGTCCCGGACCCCGGGCTGCTGGAGGAGAAGGGTGAGCCGGCCGGGCCGCCCTCCGGCGGCCTCGGCGGGGACGCAGGGCGCCCCGGAAGGTGCCGGCCGCCCGCGGCCTCCTGCGGCGGGGCCGGGCCACACTGACGCCCCCCGCCGGCCCGCAGAGCTGTCCTTCTCGAAGCTGGCCCCGCACCTCTTCATGCGGGGCGCCTGGAGGAAGACCTCCACCCCCAAGGCCCGCGCCCGCCAGCTGTGGAGGCTGCTGCGCCGAAGCCGGCACAGCTTCCTGGAGAAGGTGCGCCCGGCCCCGCCGTCCGCCCGGGGGCCTGTCTCCCGGCCGGCGGCTCCCGGGGTCCCCAACGGGGTCCCCAACGGGGTCCCCGCCAGCCCTCTGGGCGCCCCTGGGGGCGGGGGCACCGCCCCTCCCCGCGGACTGACGGCCTGCCCCGCCCGCCGTCCCGCAGGAGAAGAAGTCCCAGATGCGCGTGGCCCGCCTGACGCACGGCCTGGAGCCGCTGCGCCGCCTGCAGGTGGCGGCCGGGCTGTGCTCGGTGGCGCAGGACCCGGTGGGGAGGCGCTTCGTGGTGCTGGACGGGGCGGGCTGCCTGCACCTGCACCAGCAGGACGGCTGGGGGCTCGGCACGCTGCAGGCCCCCGTGGCGCTCACGGGGCTGGCGGCCGTGCCGGGCCCGCTGGGCTCCGTGAGCCGCTTCGTGGGCTGGGGCCCCGCGGGGCTGGCCCTCCTGAAGCCGGACCTCAGCCCGCTGTGGCTGAGCGGGCCCAGCGCGGGCAGGCCGCTCCGCCGCCGCCGCCAGCCCGCCTGCTGCCTGCCGGTGCCGGCCCTGGGCCTGCTGCTGGTGGCGGAGGCGGGCGGCGGCCTGGCGCTCTGGAAGTTCCGCCTGGGGGGTCGCCGCCTGTCGCCCTGCGGGCCCTCGCTGCAGCCTCAGCCAAGCTCCAAGGCCGCCCTCACGCGCCTGGCCCTGGGGCCCCTGTCTCCCGACGCCGCCCCGCACTGCTTCGCAGCCTACGGCTCGGCCGTGCTCACCTTGGACCTGCAGGCCTGGACCGTCACAGACGTGCGCCAGGATCTGCACAAAACGTGAGGGGGGCCCGGGGAGGGGGGCGCAGGGGCACACAGGCTGCGGGAGGCCACGCTGAGCCCGCCGGGCCTCCCCCCAGCACCATCTCCGACCTGGTGTACTGCGGGGAGATGGAGGCCATGGTGACCGCGTCCCGCGACAGCACGGTGAAGGTGTGGGGGGCGGACTGGCAGATCCGGATGGTGTTCGTGGGCCACACAGGTACACCCCGCCCGCCCGCCCCCCCCCCACTCCCGTGGCTCCCAGCCCTCTTCTCCACGCAGCCGAGAGAGCTCTGCGCTGTCGGAACCTCGGCCGTCCCTGGCCCAGCGTCTCTCTCTGTCGAACCCGAGCTGGTACTTTCCCGTCTCTCCATCCCGGGGCACCCGAGTGACGCGCGCCCTCCCGCAGGCCCGGTGACGGCCCTGGCCGTGCTCCCAGGCACGACCCTGGTGCTGTCCGCCTCCCAGGACGGGACGCTCCGCACGTGGGACCTGCAGGCGGTGGCCCAGGTGGGCGAAGTGGTGCTGAACTGCTGGGACCAGGGCGCGCGGCCCGAGAGCGTGCACTGCCTGCTGGCGCCCGCCGGGCCCGGCTGGCCAGTGCTCTCGCTGCGCGCGGGCAGCGTGGAGCTGTGGAGCCTGCGCGAGCTGTACTCGCTGCTGGCGCAGCTGTCCGCGCCCATCCTGCACCTGCACGTGGCGCCCGAGCTGCCCCTGTCCACGCACCTGCCCGCTCGCCTCGTGTGCGCCTGCGCCGACGGCTCCGTCTACCTGGTGAACCCCAACACCGGGCGCACCGTGACGGCGCTGCTGCTGGGGCCCGAGGACCGCGCCGCCGCCGTGGCCTACTGCCTGCCGCGCGAGGTGCTGTGGCTGCTGACGCGCGCCGGGCACCTGGTGCGCGCCAACACGCTGTGCAGCCCCATGCGCGTGCTGCTGCGCGTGGGCCCGCGGCCGCACCCCGCGCCCCGGCCCTGCTGCCTGCACCTCTACAGCCACCTCACCGACCCCGGCAGCGCCTTCACCAGCTGGGAGATGGTGTGCCAACACCGGGGGGAGCTGGGCCGCAATGTGCAAACCTGGAAGGACAAGAACAGGTAGGTGTGCCCGGCCGGCGTGGCTCAGCGTTTGAGTGTTGACCCAGGAGGAACCAAGAGGTCGCAGGTTCCATGCCCCGGTCAGGACACACAGGCCTGGGTTGCGGGCTGGTTCCCCTGTGGGGAGCATGCAGGAGGCAGCCTGTCCATGATTCCCTTTCGTTGGTTTTTCTCTCTCTCCCTCTCCCTCTACACAACCAATAAAAACATGGTGGTTTTTTGGTGGTTTTTTTTTTTTTTTTTTTAAAGAATGTATATTAAAAGGTAAGAACAGCCTTAATCAGTGTGGCTCAGTGGATAGAGCGTCAGCCTGTGGACTGAAAGGTCCAGGGTTTGATTTCCAGTCAAGGGCATGTACCATGGTTGCAGGCACAGCCCCAGTGGGGGGGAGGGGGGGTGCAGGAGGCAGCTGGTTGATGTTTCTGACTCTATCCCTCTCCCTTCCTCTCTGCAAAAAATTAATAAAATACATACATATACATGTATATATATATATACACATGTTTAATCTAAAATTTTTATTTATTTATTTATTTATTTTTAAGAAAGAGCCCTGACCGATTTGGCTCAGTGGATAGAGCGTTGGCCTGCAGACTCAAGGGTCTCAGATTCAATTCTGGTCAAGGGCATGTACCTTGGTTGCAGGCACATCCCCAGTGGGGGTTGTGCAGGAGGCGGATGATCGATGTTTCTCTCTCATTGATGTTTCTGACTATCTCTCCCTCTCCCTTCCTCTCTGTAAAAAGTCAATAAAATATTTTCTTAAAATAAATTAAAAAAAAGAAAGGAACAGGCAGGTGTGGGAGCCGGCGAGGCCGGCGGGCCTGTGGGGCCGTGCCAACAGGCTGGCGTGGCCGGCAGGTACCTGCCCGTGGTGGGCCACACGGATGGCACCCTGTCGGTGCTCAACTGGCAAACGTCGGAGCGCGCCTTCCACACGGAGGCGCACAGCCCGGGCCCGGTCACCGCCATTGCCTCCACCTGGAGCAGCATCGTGTCCTCCGGTCAGTACCCGCTCCCGCTCCCGGGGCCGCCATCCCCTTCCCCGCACAAAGGCCCAGCCCGGCTCCGCCCGCCCGCCTGCAGGCGCGGACCTGACGGTGAAGATCTGGCGCGTGTTCCCCTACTCGGAGGAGAGCCTGAGCCTGCTGCGCACCTTCTCCTGCTGCCACCCCGCGCTGGCGCTGTGCGCGCTCGGCAGGACCCTCATGGTGGCCTTCGAGGACCCCGACAGCGCCACCTACGGGCTGGTGCACTTTGACCTGCAACACAGCCAGCGCTTCGACCACCGGCCCCAGGACGACCACCTGGACCACATCACTGGTGAGGGGGCGGGGCAGGGGGTGGTGCTTTTTATGTATATATATATATATTTTTTATAATTTTAAAAAAATATATATCGACTTTATTGATTTTACACAGAGAGGAATTGAGAGGGACAGAGAGTTAGAAACATCGATGAGAAACACCGACCAGCTGCCTCTTGCACACCCCCCAATGGGGATGTGGCCGCTACCAAGGTACATGCCCCTGACCGGAATCGAACCCGGAACCTTTCAATCCTCAGGCCAACGCTCTATCCACTGAGCCAAACTGGTCCCAGCTAAATATATATATTTTAAATTGATTTCATGTCCTAAGTGGTTTGGCTCAGTGGATAGAGCGTCGGTCTGCAGACTGGAGGGTCCTGGGTTTGATTCCAAGCAAGGGAATGTACCTTGGTTGCGGGCACATCCCCAGTGGGAGGTGTGCAGGAGACAGCTGATTGGTGTTCCTCTCCCATCGGTGTTTCTAACTCTCTATTCCTCTCCCTTTCTCTCTGAAAAAAAAAAAAAATCAATAAAATATATTTTTTAAAGAATAAAAATAAATAAATTGATTTCACAAGAGGCAGAGAGAGGGAGAGGAAGATAGGAACATCCATGATGAGAGAGAATTATTGATCGGCTGCCTCCTGCACCCCCAACTGGGTATGGAGCCTGCAGCCTGAGCATGTGCCCTTGACCCGAATGAAACTAGGGACCCTTCAGTCTGCAGGCTCTGTCTACTGAGCCACACCGGCCAGGGCTGATTCTTGACTCTGAGCCTCGCTCCCAGGCCTGTGCTGCTGTCCCACGCTCAAGCTGTACGCCTCCTCCAGCCTGGATTGCACCATCCGGATCTGGACCTCGGACAACCACCTGCTGCGGTGGGCTGGGCCCTGAGGCCCGAGGGAGGGAGGGGGGAGCGAGGGGGGAGGAAAAGGGAGGGAGGGAAGGCCCGGCTGGGAGCCTGGGGGCAGCCAGCTGGGCTCCCCTTCCTCGCCCACAGCGGAGTCTAGGGGCTGAACAGGGGAGAGGGCCTCTGCCCCCCGCCCTGTACTTCCTGCTCTTTGGAGCAAGGCTGGCCTCTTGCCCTGGCCCCCCCTGTAGCCTCCTGCAGCTGAACGGAGCGCCTCAGGCTCTGACCTTCTCCAGCAACAATGGGGACCTGGTACTGGCCCTGGGCTCCCGCCTCTGCCTGGTGTCCCACAAGCTCTACCTGCCCACGACCTACCTGGTGAAGGTGCGCGGGGAGCCGGGCGGCCGGGCCGGCAGGCAGGCGGGTGGGCGGGCGGGCGGGCGGGCGGGGCTGCTCAGCACCAGCCTCCCGGCCGGCGGCCCCAGCTCCTTCCCCTGCTCAGAACCTGTGCCAGGAGGCCCCCGACATGCTGGACGACCCGCCCCTGCCGCTCACGCTGACCAGCCTGCAGTCGCTGACCTCGGTCCGGCTGCAGAGGCCGACCAGCCTCCACCCGGCGAGCAGCTTCTGGACGGCCGGCGAGCCTGCGGAGCCAGCCCGGAGCTGCCCTGGCCCGAGGTCTGGACCCCTGTGCCCCCTCCGGACCCCTGTGCCCCCTCCGGACCCCTGTGCCCCCTCCGGGGCCCGGCCGCCCCTCCGGCCCCCTGTGCCCCCTCCGGCCCCCTGTGCCCCCTCCGGCCCCCTGTGCCCCCTCCGGACCCCTGTGCCCCCTCCGGACCCCTGTGCCCCCTCCGGACCCCTGTGCCCCCTCCGGACCCCTGTGCCCCCTCCGGACCCCTGTGCCCCCTCCGGGCCCCTGTGCCCCCTCCGGACCCCTGTGCCCCCTCCGGGCCCCTGTGCCCCCTCCGGACCCCTGTGCCCCCTCCGGGCCCCTGTGCCCCCTCCGGGCCCCTGTGCCCCCTCCGGGGCCCGGCCGCCCCTCCGGACCCCTGTGCCCCCTCCGGGCCCCTGTGCCCCCTCCGGGCCCCTGTGCCCCCTCCGGGGCCCGGCCGCCCCTCCGGGCCCCTGTGCCCCCTCCGGTCCCCTGTGCCCCCTCCGGTCCCCTGTGCCCCCTCCGGACCCCTGTGCCCCCTCCGGGGCCCTGTGCCCCCTCCGGTCCCCTGTGCCCCCTCCGGACCCCTGTGCCCCCTCCGGGGCCCTGTGCCCCCTCCGGACCCCTGTGCCCCCTCCGGACCCCTGTGCCCCCTCCGGACCCCTGTGCCCCCTCCGGACCCCTGTGCCCCCTCCGGTCCCCTGTGCCCCCTCCGGTCCCCTGTGCCCCCTCCGGACCCCTGTGCCCCCTCCGGTCCCCTGTGCCCCCTCCGGACCCCTGTGCCCCCTCCGGACCCCTGTGCCCCCTCCGGACCCCTGTGCCCCCTCCGGTCCCCTGTGCCCCCTCCGGTCCCCTGTGCCCCCTCCGGCCCCTGTGCCCCCTCCGGACCCCTGTGCCCCCTCCGGACCCCTGTGCCCCCTCCGGTCCCCTGTGCCCCCTCCAGCCCCCTGTGCCCCCTCCGGACCCCTGTGCCCCCGTCGCGGCCTGGCAGCCCCTCCGGCCCCCTGTGCCCCCTCCGGACCCCTGTGCCCCCTCCGGTCCCCTGTGCCCCCTCCGGCCCCCTGTGCCCCCTCCGGGGCCCTGTGCCCCCTCCGGACCCCTGTGCCCCCTCCGGACCCCTGTGCCCCCTCCGGACCCCTGTGCCCCCTCCGGACCCCTGTGCCCCCTCCGGTCCCCTGTGCCCCCTCCGGACCCCTGTGCCCCCTCCGGACCCCTGTGCCCCCTCCGGACCCCTGTGCCCCCTCCGGTCCCCTGTGCCCCCTCCGGACCCCTGTGCCCCCTCCGGACCCCTGTGCCCCCTCCGGGCCCCTGTGCCCCCTCCGGGGCCCTGTGCCCCCTCCGGTCCCCTGTGCCCCCTCCGGACCCCTGTGCCCCCTCCGGCCCCCTGTGCCCCCTCCGGACCCCTGTGCCCCCTCCGGGGCCCGGCCGCCCTCCGGACCCCTGTGCCCCCTCCGGACCCCTGTGCCCCCTCCGGACCCCTGTGCCCCCTCCGGGGCCCGGCCGCCCTCCGGTCCCCTGTGCCCCCTCCGGACCCCTGTGCCCCCTCCGGACCCCTGTGCCCCCTCCGGACCCCTGTGCCCCCTCCGGGGCCCGGCCGCCCTCCGGACCCCTGTGCCCCCTCCGGTCCCCTGTGCCCCCTCCGGACCCCTGTGCCCCCTCCGGACCCCTGTGCCCCCTCCGGTCCCCTGTGCCCCCTCCGGACCCCTGTGCCCCCTCCGGTCCCCTGTGCCCCCTCCGGACCCCTGTGCCCCCTCCGGACCCCTGTGCCCCCTCCGGTCCCCTGTGCCCCCTCCGGTCCCCTGTGCCCCCTCCGGACCCCTGTGCCCCCTCCGGACCCCTGTGCCCCCTCCGGACCCCTGTGCCCCCTCCGGTCCCCTGTGCCCCCTCCGGGGCCCGGCCGCCCTCCTGAACGTCTGCCCGGCCGCCACGCAGTCCGCTCAGCGCTCCTGCGTCGTCTCTGTCTGCAGCTCGGCCTCGTCCTCCATCGAACGCGGGCCGGCGGTGCCTCAGCAGCCGCTCCTGAAGGAGGTGGGGTGGGTCCTGAGCCCCGCCCCGCCCCGAGGCCCAGGCCTGGGCCGCACCCCTGGGCAGGCCTGAAATCCCTGGGGTTCTCTGGGTAGCACATGGCAAGACTCTGGGAAGAATGGGCTGACCTCTGGCCCCCGCCCCAGGACCTGCAGCCCATACTTGCCCGGGACAAAGACCTTCAGGAGCTGCGGTGGGGCCGGGTGGTGCCAGCGGCCCGGGCCCCACTCAGCTGGCCGCAGCAGCTGGAGGCCTTCGACAACTACCTGCATCTGATCTACGGCCCGTCCCTGCTGGTGGGTGGGTGCCCCCCCGGCCCGGCCCGGCCTCCTTCCTGGGCCTGCGACACCACCCCCGCCCGGCCTGCACCCCCAGGGCCTGCGCCCCAGGACAGACTCCCAGCAGTGGACCAGAGCGGCCGCCGTCGAGGACAGGAGCGAGGGTCTGCCCAGTGCCATCCCGAGTCTGGTGAAGGCGGGGGTCTGCGTTGACTCCCCCAGAACGCTGCCCCCGCGGGACTGGGGGGCCCTGAGCCTGGGCATCGCCCACCCTCCCCACGGCGTCTCGCCCATCCCACCCGCCCACAAGCAGGTCCACAGCAGGGCATCCCAGGTGAGGCCTCCCAGCCCTGCCGCCCTCTGCCCCGCGGGCAGGGCCCCGCCCCCCGCCCTGACTCCTCCCGCCCCCAGCTGCTGGCCCGCTCCTCCCTGAGCTCCTACCTGGGCCTCAGCATGGACCTGCAGCTGCAGTCGGAGCGGCTCCTGGAGGAGAGGCCCCAGGCCCCAAAGCCGCTGTCTCGCCTCCGGAAGGAGAGGGTGAGGGGCTGGCCAGGTGGGGTGCTGCCCGCCCAGGGCAGAGCTGCAGGGGGGCACGGAGCCCCCGCCCGGCTCTGAGCCCTGGCCCGCCCCCAGGTCCCGCTGCTGGAGGAACGGCGGCCCAAGGAGCTGCTCTCTAACCTCAGGGGCTTCTTTCCTGCTGCTATCGAGCACCTCAAGGTGAGACACCTCCCGCCCCAGAGGCCCTCCCTGCAGGAGTCAGCGCGATGTGCTCCCTCTCCGCGCTCTTTATAAAAAAACATGTCTTTGTATTGACTTCAGAGAGGGAGAGAGAGACGGGAACATCATGATGAGCGAGAATGGTGGATCGGCTGCCTCCTGCACAGCCCACCCTGGGGACGGAGCCTGGCACCCTTCCGTCTGCAGGCCGGCGCTCTATCCACTGGGCCGTACCTGCCGGGGCGTCCCCGATTCCTGAAGGCTCTCCACCTGTCTGTGTGTTGTGTTGGGGGAAGGGGCGTTCAGCGCATGGAGACCTGGCAGGAAGCTGGGCAGGTGGCAGGCACCCGGCCCGGCCTGGCCTGGCTCGGCCCTGGAACGGCAGAATTCGGGTCCTCGCCCGCCAGGTCGCACTGTCCCCCTAGAACCTGCCGAGGCCCGTCAACTTCCCAGGCTGGATCCCCAACTCCGCGGTGCTGCAGCAGCTGTGGCTGCCCCAGGAGGTCAGCGGCCTGGGGGCCCTCCCTCAGCTCGAGGACGGAAGCTCTCAGGCAAGGGCTGGGGCCGGGGCTCGCCCTGTGGGCAGGGGAGGGCTCTGCCGCTTGGGGGGAGGGGTGCCACCCGTGCCCGTGGCTAGTGGTGGCGGCCCCTCTGCAGCCAGAGGGCAGCCAGGAGGACCTGTGGCTGCTGCGGGCCAGACGGGTCCTCACCCGGAGCCAGATCCGGCGGTCGGGCGAGGAGTGGGACGAGGACCTGGACCTGGACTGGAGCTTGGACTGGAGCTTGGACTACCAGCACCCGTCCCCGGAGGGCTCGCCGGAGCGCTCCCCGGAGCTGGCCCCCGAGAAGCCGCCGGCGTCCTGGCTGAACCTCCTCAGGCAGGTGAGAGACGCCGAAGAGGCGCAGCCCTCCGCCGTCACCACGCCCCTGCTCAGGACCGCAGCCCAGAGGTTCCAGGGCCTGATCCGGAGGCGCGCCCGGGACAGCGTCAGCAGGACCCAGACCTTTCTGCGCCGCCACCGGTACCAGCGCGGGCACTCGCTGTGGGAGCTGCGCTACGGGCACGTGCCCCGGTTCCTGCGCTTCTTCGTCATCCAGAACTGGTTCAAGAAGCTGTTCCCCCTCTTCACCCTGGAGGTTTGTGGGGCTGACGGGGGCGGGACTCTGGATGGGAGGGGGCCGGGCGCGGGGCGGGGCCTCAGCGCGGTCCTTGCAGGCGTACCCCGAGCTGGGCACGGTGGACGGCCTGGCCCAGGGGTTCATGGACTTGCTGAAGGAGGTCTCCTGGGAGGACCGTGTGCACATCCTTCGGGCGCTGCAGAGGCTGCTGCCCGACATGAGCAAAAGCCTCTACAAGAAGCTGCAGGGGATCATCAAGTACCTGCTCAACATGGACCAGCCCCCCAACCTCCAGGTCCGCCCCGACCTCACCCCTCACCCGCCCCCCGCCCCGCCCCGCCCCGCCCGTCCAGGCCCCAGACTGACCCTCGGCCTGTGGGGCTCAGGAGACCACCCAGAAGCACTTCGTGATGCTGGCCCTGCAGCTGCAGCTGGCCTGCTCCCTGGAGTCCCGCGAGGTGGTGCTGGAGCTCATGTCCTACCTGCTCTACTCGCCCGCCTCTTGCCGGTGAGGCCGCCCACCGCCCGCCCCCCTCCAACCCCCTCCGCCCTTCACCGCCCTCCGCCCCCCTCCGCCCTCCGCCCGCAGGGGTGGGAGGCGGGAGCTGGGGGACACGGGGACTGGGATGAGCCGCCGCCCTGTCCCAGGGCCGAGCTCCAGAAGCTGCTGGACGGGCTGGGCCTCCAGGACCCGGAGGGCGTCCTCTTCAGGGAGATGATGACCTGGGTGCCGGACCTGGACCTGCACTGCAAGGCCATGCTGCGCCGCTGCTGCTCCGAGAAGCTGGAGGAGATGATCCACGTCCTGGAGGTGCGGGGGGTGGGTCAGGGGGTAAAGGGGTCCTGCCCTCCGCCCTCCGCCTTCCCCCAGGGGCAGGGGAGAGCCAGGGGCCTGGCCTTGCTCTGGACCTCCCGTCCGCCTCTCGGATCTCCTGCTCCTTCCTGGGAGGGAGTCTGCAGCGGGTCCGCCGGTCCCGGAGCAGCACCCGACCCGCCGCCCCCGCCCCGCCCCGCCCGCAGGTAGAAGACTTGCAGCCGTCGGTGGCCAGGCTGTCGGACGTGCTGCCCAAGGTCTCCGAGACGGCGCTGTCGCAGGTCTCGGAGCCCCTCGCCCACCTCTCCGTGCCGCCCTCGCCCGCCCGCTCCTCCACGCTCTCCGTGTCCTGGACGCCCTCGCAGCTGGTGCTGCGCCGGGGGCAGGGCCCCGCCGCCCCGGAGCCCCAGGCGCGCCCCCGCCGCTCGCGCCGCACGCTCTCCGAGAGCCTGGTGCCCTTCTGCACGGTGCCCGACATCTACGTGCGCTCCTCCGCGCCCGACGCGCTGCTCGAGCGCCCGCTGCCGCTGGAGCAGACCGAGTGGTCGCGGTCCAAGATCCTGGACCTGGGGCCCATCGACGCGCTCAACTTGTTCTGCGAGCTGAAGCGGAGGAGCTACCTGCAGGAGGAGGCCTGGGCCCTGAGGCCGCCCCGAGTGCCGCCCAACGCCGTGGCGCCGCAGCCCCGCCATCACGTGTGAGTGCGCGCGGAGGGCGCCATGCTCCGCCGGCGGCGCGTGTGTGTGTGTGTGTGTGTGTGTGTGTGTGTGTGTGTGTGCGCGCGTGCGTGTGTGTGTGTGTGTGTGTGTGTGTGTGTGTGTGTGTGCGTGCGTGCGCGCGTGTGTGTGTGTGTGTGTGTGTGTGGGGCCAGGGGCCTGGCTCAGTCAAACCCATCTTCCTTTTTATTTTACTTTATTTTAAATATATCTTATTGATTTTTCACAGAGAGGAAAGGAGAGAGAGTTAGAAACATGGATGAGAGAGAAACATCTATCAGCTGCCTCCTGGGGATGTGCCCTCAACCAAGATACATGCCCTTGACCGGAATCGAACCCGGGACGCTTCAGTCCGCAGGCCGACGCTCTATCCACTGAGCCACACCGGTCTCAGCACTATTTTTATTTTTTTTAATATATTTTTATTGATTTCAGAGAGGGAGAGAGAGAAACACCTCAATGATGAGAGAGAATCATCGATTGGCTGCCTCCCGTACGCCCCCGATTGGGCATCAAGTCTGAAACCCCCAAGGCATGTCCCTCTTGACCTGAGTCGAACCTGGGTCCCTGCAGCCAGCAGGCCGACGCTCTATCCACTGAGCAACCCCAGCCAGGGCTCACAGCCACCTTCTCTCCGCCCTAGGCTTGACCCCATTCTCAGGCTCCAGGAGACCAAGCACGGGAGATCTAGAATGAGACTGAGGGGTGAGTGGGGACAGGGGTAGAGATTGGACCCTGAGCTCAACCCCACCCCCACCCCAGCCTGGGTCCCCCGGGGCCTCAGCCTCCCCCCAAGGCCTCACCGCCCCGATGACCCCAGGCCAGCTGCTGGCCCGGCACCGGGAGGGCCTCGCCTTCGACGGCTCCATCCGGACGCTAAAGCTGCCGCTGCCTCGGGTGGAACTGCGGCCGTTCCCCCTGGACTGGCCCCGGCCTGCCCGCCCGCTGCCGCCCCTGCTCCTGCAGCCGCCCCTGAGGCGCTACTTCCTGCCCGACCTCGCAGATCCGGACTTCTTCGACTGACCCCGTTCCCAGCCCGCCCCTGCCCTCCAGCCGGGGGACAGGACATAGCTCCCCACGGGGCTGTCCGCCCCTGGCCAAGACGGGGAACTGGAATAAAATCCGGACAGAAAACTGGATGCCGAGACCGTCTTTGGGGGCCCCCAGGCGGGCAGGGAGGTCTGGCTGGTGGAGCGGGTGGGACAGGCGGGGTGGTGGTCAGCCCCGGGTGGGCCGGACCTGTGTGGGTTCCTCCCTGCTCAGGCATCAGCTGACATTTCTCTGTCAGTTACTGAGGGCAGGAAGGGAGGGCGGGCTATGAGCCAGTGGTGGCCAGGCGATCTGGGGGAAGGAGACGGTCTGGGTGGCCACCCAAGGTACATGCCCTTGACTGGAATCGAACCTGGGGCCCTTCAGTCCACAGGCTGGCACTCTATCCACTGAGCCAAACCAGTTTTTATTTTATATATATATATATATATATATATATATATATATATATATATATATATATATATATATATATATATAATTTTTTTTTTCCAGAGAGGAAGGAAGAGATAGAAACATCATTGATGAGAATCATTGACCATCTGCCTCCCGCAGGCCCCACACTGGGGATCAAGCCACAACCCTGGCATGTACCCTGCCTGGGAATCAAACTGTGACCTCCTGGTTCATAGGTCGATGCTCAGCCCCGGAGCCAGGCGGGCCGGGCAGGGGCTGTGGTCTTTGGCTGCAGGTGAAGCCGGGAGTGTGTTGGCATGTGGTTCCCTTTAGGCTAAGAAGGAAGAGTTGCTGAAGGGGCTCCACCTGTCTCATCCAAAAAGCAATGAAAGGGGCAGTTTCTTCAGGTCGCTTGAACTTACCAGCAGGGGGCAGAGTTGCTCTGTGAAGTGCAGGGTCTGGAAGGTCTTGCAGGGACTCCCATGCTCGCTGGCTACCTGGCCACTGGGGAAGGGTGCTAGGGAAGAGTCTGGCGTCCACACCCGTGCTTTGGGCAGCCAGGGCAGCTGCTGCTTTCCTGTGAGTTATGGCTGGCCTCCCACCCCTTCATCGTCATCCCCATGCTGTGCAGGGGGTCTTGATGTGGGGCGGCTGTGTAAAGAGTTCTTTTGAGGCTAAGCAGGGCCAGGAGTGCCGCCTGGAGAGCTGCAGGGTGGAGCCATTTAAAAGGGGGTTTGTGCAGCCTATGGTGGTGAGCCACCGCTGTTTTTTTCTGGTTTAAATGATAAAAGCAACAAAAGTTTTTAAAATTAAAAACACGAGCTGGCCAATGTAGCCCATTGGTTAGCGTGTTGACCCATGCACTGAAGGGTTGAGGGTTCGATTTCCCATGAAGAGCAGGCACCTGGGTTGCAGGTTCAATCCCTGGCCCCGGTTGGGGCTGTGTGGTAGGCACCAATCAATCAATGAGTCTCTCTCACATCCATGATTTTTTCTCTCTCTCCCCTCCCTTACTTCCACTCTCTAAACATCAATGGAGCCCTAACCGGTGTGGCTCAGTGGATAGAGCATCGGCCTGTGGACTGAAAGGTCCCAGGATCGATTCTGGTCAAGGGCCTGTACCTTGGTTTTGAGCACATCCCCATTAGGGGGCGTGCAGGAGGCAGCTGATAGATGTTTCTCTCACTGATGTTTCTAACTATGCCGCTCCCTTCCTCTCTGTAAAAATAAAAAAATCAATAAAATATATTAAAAAATAAAATAAAACAACAATAAAACAAAAACAAAACCACATGAGAAAGTAGGGCAAACAGGTTAAAAAAAAACACCCACTAACCACAAATAAAAATATTAATATTTTTAAATACATATCAATATGCAATTATTTTTAAATTAAGCAATCAGTTAACTGAAATGTAGCATTAAGAGTGAAAAGGCAGGCCACATGTAATTAAAAGTGACTCACCTCCAAAACATAGAACTTCTACAAATCAATAAGAAAAATCACACAACCTAATGGGGAAAAAATTATACAAAAAGCCAGAATGGAATTTTCACTATAGAAGTCGAAATGGAAAAAAAAAAAAAGTTTACTCCACTTCCTGTGTGATCTTAGGTGAGTTACTGTAAGCCTCAGTTTTCCCATCTATGAAAGGGGGACACCTCACAGGACTGCTGCGAGGATGAAATTAACTAGTACATCTCAACACTTAGGACCAGCTCAGCGCGGGGCCTGCAGACAGAAAATGAAGCTTCCTCACATTATTGACAGGAGAAACCTCCAGACGATTTGAGTATTGGAATGTAGGAAATAAAAGGTAACCCGGCACTTAGAAGGGAAAGATAGACATATTTGCTGGGGGGGAAAAATGGATTGAAGCTCCACCACTGAGCCACGCCATCCTGGCCAACTCTTGTAATTTTAACTTTAAAATTTATTTTTATTATTATTATTATTATTATTATTATTGTTATTGTTATTGTTATTATTATTATTTACCTTTCCATTTATCTTGGAAATATTTAAAGCTCCCTAGCTGGTGATTTCTGTCAACACTTCTGGACTACAAGGGGACCCAGAAGGTGCACATTTGTCTCTCTCTAAAGTGCCCACCAGAGGGCACCATTTACCTGTGAGCCACATCATCTCCATTTCCAGCGAACCTTCTGCTTTTATGGGCTACATTGGTGTGTGGGGAGCATGGAGTGCCCTTGGGAAGGTGGGCACCCTCTTCCTCAGCTCCCAAGGGACAGGTTAGGCTGGGATGGCGGCTGTGGAGTGCCCTTCTCATGGGTCTGCGTCCAGGGCCAATCCCAGCTTTTAGGCCTTATTACCTACAGGCGTCAGGGACTGCTGTTTCCCGAGAGTGACTCTCCTGGGTGTCCCTGGCAGTGGTCAGCAAAGTCAACAGAGCCAAATACCAACAGTACAATGATTGAAATTTCTTTTGAGAGCCAAATTTTTTAAAAATATATATTTTATTGATTTTTTACAGAGAGGAAGGGAGAGGGATAGAGAGAAACATCGATGAGAAACATCCATCAGCCGCCTCCTGCACACCCCCTACTGGGGGTGTGCCTGCAACCAAGGTACATGTCCTTGACCGGAATCGAACCCAGGACCTTTCAGCCCGCAGGCTGATGCTCAATCCACTGAGGATGCCAATATCCATCTTTTTAAGGGGCTTGTAACCATGTAAAGTACTTAATAACCCACGACAAAGGATAAATGGGGGAAACATTATAATAGGCAAGAAGAGAGGTCTCCCTAGCTGGTTGGCCGCAGTGGATAGGGCGCAGGCCTGAGGACGGAAGGGTTGGGGTTTGATTCAGGGCCAGGACGCATGCAGCCCGATCCCCAGTAGGGGGTGTGCAGGAGGTAGCCGCTCCATGATTCTCTCTGATATTTCTCTCTCTCCCTAGAATCAATAAAAAGTATATATTTATATATACATAATATATAAAAATGAAAATGTATGCACAAAACGGGGTTAGGCTAGGAATGCAAGGCTGGTCTAACATGGGCAAGTCGATGTCATGGATCGTCTCTTCCAGCAAAGGTAGGCCTCTGCCCGGTCCAAGATGGGGGAGGCATGTGACGTCAGCCGCCAGGGGCTGGGGGCCACCCCAGGGGAAAGTGCCACTGAGCGGCCCCAACGTGTGTGCCTCAAGGAGCCCCAAAGCCCTGTCCTCCCTCCCACCCAGGTAGGCGCTTCCGGCGGCACCGAGTCCCACAATGCCCCGCGCCTCGGCGTAGCCCCGCCCCACACACTGTCCCCGCCCCTTCCAGAGTCCGCGGCCTCGGATTGGTCTTCATGGCTTCCGTGTTCCGGGCGGGCGGGGCCAAGGGGCGGGGCGGGCGGGGCGGGGCGTACTGGCCCGGGCGGTCGCGAGATGCCGGGAGGCGCGGTGGCGGCTGCGGCGGACGCGGCCTCGCCGGCCGGCGGCGCGGGCGCCGGGGGGCCGCCGGCTCCGGAGGCGGAGGCGGAGGCGGAGGCGGAGGCGGCCGAGCTCCTGCCCTTCCTGGCGGCCGGCGCGCGGGCGGACTTGCAGGCGGCGGCGGCGGGGCACGTGCTGGCGCTGACGGGCTCGGGGCCCGGCCGGACGCTGCTGGCCGGGCAGGCGGCGCTCCTGCGGGCGCTGGCGGCGCTGGCGGCGGCCCCCGCCCCGGCCCCGGCCCGCGACGCCGCCCGCGCCCTCGTCAACCTGTCCGCCGACCCCCGCCTCCACGAGCCGCTGCTGGCGGCCGCGCCCGCGCTGCCCGCCCGCCTGCTGGGCCGCGCGCTGGACCCGCAGTGGCCCTGGGCGGAGGAGGCGGCCGCCGCGCTGGCCAACCTCAGCCGCGAGCCGGCGCCGTGCGCCGCGCTGCTGGAGGCGCTGGCGGCCGCGGAGCCCGGGGAGGCTGGCCTGGGCCTGGAGCGGCTGATGCGCGCGCTGTGCACGCCCGGCTACAACGCCCGCGCGCCCCTGCACTACCTGGCGCCGGTGCTGTCCAACCTCAGCCAGCGCCCCGCGGCCCGCGCCTTCCTGCTGGACCCGCACAGGTGAGCCCCTGCGGCCCGCGGGGGGCGGGGAGCGAGCAGGGACAGCACTGAGCGGCCCCTCCCTCCAGGTGCGTGGTCCAGCGGCTGCTGCCCCTCACCCAGGACCCAGACTCCACGGTGCGCAGGGGCGGGGTCGTGGGGACGCTGCGAAACTGCTGCTTCGAGCACCGTGAGTGGCGGCGGGACAGGGTCATTGCTGTGGGAGGCAGTGGAGGGGGAGGGAATTCTAGGGCCCCTCTAGGCTGGAGTGGTCCCCATCCCTGTCTCTTACGTCCTCCAGGACACCACGAATGGTTGCTGGGTCCCGAGGTGGACATTCTCCCCTTCTTGCTACTGCCCCTGGCCGGGCCCGAGGACTTCTCTGAGGAGGAGATGGAGCGTGAGTGGCTCTCCTGGGTGGAGCCTCAGGCTTGGCGGGAGGGGAGGACAGTAGTGGAGGGGGAGGAATTGTCCCCATCAGGGCCCCTTCCGAAGCCTCCTAGCGCGAGTGGCCGAGCACAGGTGGGGCTGACAAAGTGGGGGGGTCTGGCCTGGTGGCCCAGCACAGGGACCCAGGGACTCCCACCTCCGCCGCTAGGCCTGCCCGTGGACCTGCAGTACCTGCCGCCAGACAAGCAGCGGGAGCCTGACGCCGACATCCGGAAGATGCTCATTGAGGCCATCATGCTGGTGAGCAGGGCCCCGCCTGGGGGGAACCCCGCCCCCAACATGTAAGCCGGCATCTGGCTAAAGTCTGCTCTCTCTCTCAGCTGACGGCCACAGCACCTGGGCGGCGGCAGGTGAGGGACCAGGGAGCCTACCTGATCCTCCGAGAGCTGCACAGCTGGGAGCCCGAGTCTGACGTGCGGGGGGCTTGTGAGAAACTCATCCAGGTGGGTGCAGCGCTGGGGGGAGCGGGGGAGGGCACGCCCACAGTGTGCCAGCACCTGCTCACCTGCCTCCGCTGCTGCAGGTGCTTATTGGGGATGAGCCGGAGCGGGGCATGGACAACCTGCTGGAAGTGCAGGTGCCTGAGGATGTGGAGCGGCAGCTGCAGGAGCTGGACCGCCAGGAGCAGGAGCAGTGCCAGCGGGAGCAGCAGGAGCAGCGGGGGCAGAAGCTGTCTCCAGAGTCACGCTCGGAGGGGGCCGCACCCACCTGAGGCACCTGCACAGACCACTGCCAGCTCCAGGCCCCCTTGATGAGCCGTCCATCCTGGCTTCCCAGATCAAGCCGTCCTGCAGCTGCCTGCAGGCCTCTGGGTCCCTTTGCTCCGAGGCTGTGCCCTCCTGGGAGGCAGAGCTGCACTTGAGCTCTGGGTTCGGGCTGAGGGCTCTAGGGCTAATGCCCCTTAGACATCGGCGGGTTGCGGGCACCTCCCTGTGCCCTGTTGCTTGAGCAACAATGCAGCTGGTGCCTGGCCAGCGTGGTTCAGTGCGTGAGCATTCGACCTATGAACCAGGAGGTTGCAGTTTGATTCCCGGTCCGGTCCCGTCGGAGCACCTTGAGCCAGGTTGCGGGCTCCACCCCCAGCATGGGGCGAGGAGGAGGCAGCTGATCGTAGTTCTCATCACTGATGTTTCTATCTCTCGGCCCCTCTCCCTTCCTCTCTGAAATCAATAAAAATAATATATATTTTTTTAAAATGCAACTTATTCAAAGGAGCTAGCCAGGTCCTGTGGCTCTCAGGTGCCTCCAGTGGGATGGCCCGGGAGCCACGCACCTCCTCCCAAGCTGAGTGCCCGTGGGCCTGGACGTGGCAGCCTGAGAGGCGAGCGGGCGCTTCCCAGTCCCAGGGTTTCCACCGGGGTCGAGGCCTAGTCAGGTGTAAGCAGTGCCTCTTCCTGCCAGGCCCACCCACGTCCCTCCACCTGGGCCCTCTGCTGACCCTCCGCCTCCCTGGCCTGACCTGAGACCTTCACAGCGGCAGCCTGTCCCTGGGCGCTCTCAGAGCTGCCCGCCCCCCCAGCCTGTCCTCGGAGCACTAGTGGGGTGCTGCCTCCCCTCCATCCTCTCCCCCTTTCCACTTGACCCAGACCCTGTTCTTCCTGCAGCTCCCCTCCAGCACAAGACCCAGTCCCCGGCCCCCCATGGGTGGTCCCTGGGTGGTCCCTCTACTTTGCATCCTCCCAGTAGTCACATGGCGGGCCCTGGTGGGCGGTCCGTGTGGCCCTCACCCTCTACATTCCCTTCCTGGGCTCGCACCACATGCCGTGCCATCTTTGGCATAGCACCCAAATACTGCCCCAGGCCCGGCGCCCGGTCCTGTAGCTTAGCAAGGCTCCCCGGATCCCCAGACTGCCACCCCTCCTGTCCTCTGCCCCTGCTGTTCCCGAAGCCACAGGTCTGCTCCCCCGTGCTAGCCCCTGGAGGCCCCCTGGTGTGGTCAACCCACTCCCCCTCCCCAAAGCTCTGGCCTGTGGGCGTTAAGGGGGCTCGCCAGTCCCCCCAGGCCGCTGGTTCACACCTCGGCTCCACAGAAGAAAGGGCTCCACAAAAGAAACGGTTTATGAGGCCTCCGCCCTGCCCACGCCCTGCCCTCAGCTGACCAGGTGGTGGCCCAGCGCGCTCCTGAGGACGCTGGGGGGGCGCCCGGAAGAAGGCCGCCTGGCGACGCCCACCCAGAGGCCGGCCTTGGCCATGCCCCGGAGCCCCAGCCCCGCGGAGGCAGAGCTCGCCCCGCGGCTAGGGCGGGCCCCCGGGGGCGGGGGCTTGGGTGCTGGGCCAGAGGCACTCTTGGGGGTCCCCCTTTGCGGGGAGCGACGCAGCTGCAGAAGCGGCCTGGCGGGGTCGGAGTCCTCTCTGGGCTCCGCCGGGTTCTCTGCTGGGGATTCATGGGGGGTCAGGGCGGGCGCTGAGGGGCGGCCAGCCCTCCCGGGCCTCCTCCCCCGGACCCCGCCCCACCTGGCGCCGCGCCGGGCACCTCGCGGAGGAGCGCGGGCGGGGCGGGCAGCATCCAGCGGTGCGCGGCCACCTGCCGCAGGTCCGGGCGCGCGCACGGCCGCAGCTGGAGCAGCGCGCGGATCAGGTCCTGGCACTCTGCGGGCGGAGGCCACGGCTGCAGCGCCGCCCCCGCCGCCCTCCCTCCCCCGGGGCGTCCACTGAGCCCCAACCCCGCCCGTCCCCGATGGGAGACCCGCACGGAGCCGGGCAGCCACCCTCCCCAGCTCCCCCCTCTCCACGGCGGGAGGGGTGGGTGACGGGGTGCCGGGCAGTCTGACTCTGTGCCCTCCTCCTGGCGCAGAACGGCCCCGGGGCCCCGGGGCGGGCTCACCTGGGGACAGGCCGGGCGGGAAGGCGGGCCCCCGGCGCATCAGCAGCAGCATGCGGCGCGGCCGGCGCTCCTTGAAGGGCAGCCTCCCGGTCACCATGGCGAAGAGGATGACACCGCTGGGGCGGGGGCTCCTCGGGCCCGCCCCCCACCCTCCGAGGCCCGGCCGCCGGGCGCCCGCGGCGGGGGGCCACTCACAGGCTCCACATGTCCGCGCGCTCCCCGTTGTACTTCTTGCTCATGAGGATCTCGGGCGCCGTGTAGGCCACGGAGCCGCAGAAGGTGCTCAGCAGCGCGTTCTTGAGCGCCGACTGGTTGGCGAAGCCGAAGTCTGTGCGGGGGGGGGGGGGGGGGAGCGGGGGCGGGGGCGGGGCCGGCGGAGCACCCACCGGGGAGGGGGGTTAGGGAGAGGGCGCTGTGGGGAGGGGCTGTGCGGTGGGCATGGGGGTGGGGGTGCCTGCAGGTTGGCTGTAGGCAAAGTGGGGGGAGGGTGGCAGGTCACCCCAGTCGGGAGCAGACCCTGCAGTGAGTGTCCGGGTCAGCAGTCAGCACGGCCCGGGCGCGTGGGAGTGGGCTGGGCTCACCTGTCAGCTTCAGGAAGCCCTGGTCATCCAGCAGGATATTCTCACACTTCAGGTCCCTGCGTGGGAAAGCGCAGGTGGGGCTGGGCCTGGGCTCAGGGCCGCCCTCGGTGCGGGCTGGGCGGGCGGGGCGGGCACCCTCACCGGTGCGGGCCGCCCTCGGTGCGGGCTGGGCGGGCGGGGCGGGCACCCTCACCGGTGCGGGCCGCCCTCGGTGCGGGCTGGGCGGGCGGGGCGGGCACCCTCACCGGTGCACGACGCCGGCGCTGTGGCAGTGGGCCACGGCGCTGACCAGCTGCCAGAACAGCCTGTGGGCCTCCTTCTCCTCCAGCCCGGGGCAGTGGCGGCGGTCGGACACCGTGTTGATGTGCTCCAGCAGGTCGCCGCGGCCCGCCAGCTCCAGGACCAGGTAGGCACGCTGGCTGTTGTGGTAGGTCTCGTACAGCTGCACCTGCGGACCCCACCCGCCGGCTAGCACCCCAGGAGGGGACCGACCGGCCGGTGCCCTCGCCAGGGGCGTCAGGAAGGGGAAGGAGGCAGGCCCCGGTGGGCGGCAGGTGCAGGAGGTCAGACAGCTGGGGGTCTGCCTACCACGTTCAGGTGCTTGTAGGTGGCATTGAGGGACGAGATCTCTCGGGGCAGGAACTTCTGGGCGAACTCCACGGGGGCCTCGGCAGTGGAGACGATCTTGATGGCCACCTGCGGGGCGGGTGGGAGCGGCTGACCGCAGCCCCCAGGGGCGGGGGCGGGTCCCAGGTCCTTTGTGCTCAGTGCTGACATGATGGGGCGGGGGACGGGGTACACAGAATCCTGGGAGACAGCGCCCTCCTCTCTCTCCCTCCTGCCGGGGGCACTTCCTTGGGGATCCCAGAATGCCAAGTGGCCAGCCAGCCTGTGGGCGCCTTGGCCTCCAGGGCGGGTGTGGGATCGGTTGGGAGAAGCCAGAGCGGCTGGGCGGCGCTTGAGAAGCCTTAGGGTGGGGCCCAGGAGGGAGGCGGGGTTGGAGGACCCCCGCGCCCCGGGCGGGCCGGGGAGCAGGCGGCGCCTCACCATGCTGTGGCGCTTGCCCCGCAGGTCGGAGGCCAGCCTGGGGTTGTGCTGCATGCGCTCCTGCGTGGCGAAGGCCAGGTAGACTCTGGAGAAGGCCCCCGAGCCGATCTTCTTGGAGGAGAGCAGGTAGCCCTTGTCCCTGCACTCACGCACCTGGGCCATGAAGGTTTGCTGGTCCGGCTTCCGCCAGCCATTGCGCTTCATGGAGGGCAGGGCGCTGTGGACGGAGCTGGGGCTGTCCAGCTCTTGGGAGGGAAAGGAGGGGAGGGGGGGGGCTTGGCAGAGGCCTGGCTGGTGTCTGAGGAGCTGGGGTGACCGGGGCTGCGGAGGCCAGGCGGGACCTGCGCCCCCTGGCGGCGTTGGGAGGCTTTGCTGGGGCAGAGGCAGGGGCGTGGCCAGGGCTGAGAGCTCAGGGGAAGGACTGAGGCTGTGGGGAGGGCCAGCTCTGGGGAAGAAGGGCAGGTTCTAGAAGGAGGGGTTCTAGAACTGCACCTGCATTGTGCCCTCAAAGGGGGCCCTTCTGTTCCCAGGACCTGCCTGTCGAGAACATCTTGCTGAAACCGGCCCTGTCCTGCGTAGGCCCCCGCCCCTCTCAGTGGTGAGAATCCCTGAGGGCTAGCGTCAGCGGGAAAGGACAACAGGTGCAGCACCTGTCTTAACTGCGCCCCTTCCTGTCCTTTGGGAGGGTCCCACGCTGGCAGCCGGGGGAGGGGAGCATTGCTCTGCTGAGGCCTGAAGCTTCTCCTGCGGAGCAAACGTCCCCAGAGCTCTCTGCAGACTCCAGGACACAGCCCCAAGGAAGTGAGGCCCCCTGGGCCCACCCCAATCCCTGCAGCTTCCGGAGAGAGCAGCCAACAGGACCCTGCCCTCTCCTGCCCTCGAGAGTCTTCTGTGAGCAAAGAGAGTAGCAGGTGGCAGTGACTGAGTGCCTACTGCGTGCCAGGTGCCGTGCGAAGCGGCCATAGTGGGTGCTCCTCCCCCCTCATAGCACAGACCACACCTGATGTGCCTGACCCAGGGGGCAGGCAGTGCACATTCCGGATCTAAAATCGGAGCGTAGCCAGGTGATGCCCATTTTACAGGTGACGAGACTGAGGCCCCCATACACAGTTTCTCTCCTATGAACTGGATGGCAGCTCTGGGAGTGTCCCTCAGGGCCTGGGTGTGGTGGGGCTGGGTGTCTGTGGACCTGACTTATCCCCCGCTGGGACTCCTGGTGGGTGGGGAGTGCCTGCTGCAGGGAAGGCCAGGGCATGCTCTGCCTGCGAGGCCCAGGCTTCTTTTCTCACCCCTGTTGGACTGGGAGTTGTTTGGGAGCAAGGCTTGTGTTTGCTGTTCCCTTACTCACCCACAGCCTACGTCTGGCAAATTGCCTAGAACGGTGGTCGGCAAACTGTGGCTCTTGATCCGCGGTTTGCCGCTCTGTTGACTAATGAATTTGCCGACCACTGCTTTAGGGAAAAACACTTAAAAGAACATTTTAATAATGTACTAATGTCTTTACCTGAAGTCAAAACTTCTGGGTAAGGGTAATGCCTTACGCACTGGCCGGCAAACACATTAGTCAACAGAGCCAAATATCAACAGTACAAAGATTGAAATTTCTTTTGAGAGTCAATTTTTTTAAAACTTAAACTTCTTCTAACGCCTCTTCTTCAAAACACACTCGCCCAGGCCATGATATTTTGTGGAAGAGCCATACTCAAGGGGCCAAAGAGCTGCATGTGGCTTGCGAGCCGCAGTTTGCCAACCACGGGCCAAGAATATAACAAATGTGGATAAACTAGCTGGTTTGTTGCTGATCTTGGGGTTAGGAAAACAGCAGCCACTCCATGTATTCCAAGCAGAGGGCTAACCTGTTTTTGTTTTTGGTGGTTTTTTTATTTTATTTTTTTTTTCAGGGAGGAAGGGAGAGGGAGAGAGAGAAACATCAATGATGAGAGGATCGTTGATTGGCTGCCTCCTGCCTCCCAGTTCATGGGTTGATGCTCAGGTGCAGCACACCAGCCGGGGCAGGGGGGATTTAAGACGGGGTTGCCATCAGGTGCTGGAAGGTGTGGAGAGGGGCCCTGTCTAGGGCTAGAGCAGCACAAGGGGAAAACGTGGGGCTCCGGGCAAGGGTGGCCACACCCCTCTCACCTCCTGCTCCCACCAGGGCCCAGGACACACTGGAGGCCAGCAAGTTGGTCCCCAGCCTCATCCACCTTCTTCTGCAAAGTCCATCTTACCCTCCTCTTGCTCTGCACCCTAGCTCACCCTTCCATCCCAGGGATGTGCAAGGAGCACCCAACACAGGCTGAGCCTGGTGCTGAGCTCTTGGAAGCAAAGAGCAGATATGGGCCTGTCGTAGAGCTGACTGACAGTGTGGAAGGGAGACGAGCTTAGCAATTTAATAGAAGTTAGAGGACAGCTTTGCTAGTGCTGGGCAGTGTGTGCGCTTGGGGACTGAATGGCTGAGTTGGGGAGAGGGTGGGGCCAGCAGGGCAGGCCGGCACTGGCCTTGGGGAGCATGGGCAGGGCTTCTGCAGGACAGCAGGCTGTCCAGCCGTGAGCTTGGGAGAAGTCTCCTGTCCTGCTCCCTGGCAACTTCCACGTCCTATTTGACCTCTCCCCTCCAGCCAGTTGGGGGATTGGGGCTCTTTCTGAGGTGCCAGCCCCATCTGTCAGCACCTCAATCAGCCATCCGGTTCTGTCCCGTCCCTACAAAAGAAACAGGCTGGTCTGGCTAGTGTGGCTCAGTGGTTGAGCATTGACCTATGAACCAGGAGATCACAGTTCAATTCCTGGTCAGAGCACATGCCTCGGTTGCATGCAACAATCAATTATTCTCATCATCGATGTTTCTCCCTCTCCCTCTGAAATCAATAACAAATATATTAAAAAAAAAAAAGAAGAAAAAAAGAAAGAAAGAAAGAAAAAGAATAGAAACAGCCTGAAGTCCTCTCCATGGAAGAATGCCCCTCCCCTCACTGTTGAGCTGCCACCTGCCCTCATATTAGAGCCCCACTTTGCCACCTTGTCCCCTCGCCCACAGCTCTCTGCAGACACTCGTTGTGCCACTGACCACTTCCTTCTCAAAACGCGCTGCTCACTTCCTGAGCTGCTAGTATGTTACTCCCTCCTTTATTTCGGTTTGTGAACACATCCAAGCAGTTTCAGCTCGGGATCTCTGCAGGTGCCCGTGTCTCTGCCCAGAACGCGGGCCCCTCTCCCAGGCTGGACGGCACCCCCTTATAGCACATCGTGTGTCTTATGGGTCTTTACTTGTGTACTGTCTGTCTGCTTCTCCAGACCCAAGGCCCCGAAGGAAGAGAACTTCCGGGGTCTGCTGGCCTCCTGTGTGTGTGTGTGTGTGTGTGTGTGTGTGTACTAGGTATACCGGTTAACAATGCAGATTTTTTTCAATAGATGGAGTTACACATATGTTGATATATAAGCATATATAAGCAATTAGATATGTATGCTATTTTGTTGTATTGACAAGCTTCTAAACTTCATATGTCAAATTTTCTGAAGTTAGTGTTAACATCATAGATATTTGTCAAATTTGTGCCAAAAAAAAGAACATTTGTGGGAAGTTTTTAAAAATATATATTTTATTGATTTTTTTTTACAGAGAGGAAGGGAGAGGGATAGAGAGTTAGGAACATCAATGAGAGAGAAACATTAATCAGCTGTCTCCTGCACACCCCACACTGGAGATGCGCACGCAACCAAGGTACATGCCCTTGACCAGGATCGAACCCGGGATCCCTCAGTTTGCAGGCCGATGCTCTATCCACTGAGCCAAACCAGTCAGGGTGGAAGTTGTATTTTTTTTTTTTTTAAGTTTTAATTCATTACTGTATTTTGAAGAAAAGTGCTGCTGACAGTTATCTATACTTTGGGAAGCTTATGGTGAACATGCTCCATCTTAAGATACTTGTGAACGCTGGTTTAAAAGCTTTAAAGTTTAAACCATTCAGATGTGAAAGACAAAGAACGTCCAGGTCAACCCAAAAAGTTTGAAGACCAACAATGACAAGCATTATTGGATGAAGATGTGTGTCAAACTCAAAAACAACTTGCAGAAAGTTTAAATGTTGCTCAGCAAACAATTTCCGATCATTTACAAGCAATGGGGAAGATTTTAAAGGAAGGAAAATGAGTGCCACATCAACTGAACGAAAGACAAATGGAAAACCGAAAAGTCATCAGTAAAATGTTGCTTCAACGGCATGAAAGCAAGTCTTCTTTGCATCGAATTGTGACTGGCGATGAAAAGTGGATTTATTCTGAGAATCCCAAACGCACAAAATCATAGGTTGATCCAGGTCAACCATCAACATCGATTGCCAGGCCAGTTCACTTCGGAAAGAAGATAACGCTCTGCGTTTGGTGGGATCAGGAAGGTGTGGTGTATTATGAGCTTCTAAAACCAGGTGAAACCATTAATACTGATTGCTACTGACAACAAATAATCAATTTGAACCACTCTTTGATTGTAAAACAACCAGAATGGGCAACAAGACACGGCAAAGTAATTTTGCTCCATGATGACCCACCATCACTTCAAAACAAGCTAAAGACACGTTAAAAGATCTTGCCTGGGAAGTATTAGCCCACCCTCCGTATTCACCAGATTTTGCTCCTTCAGATGATCACGTGTTCCGATCGATGGCACACACACTTTCTGAGCAGCACTTTTAAGACGCACGAGGAAATGGAAAATGGGATCTCTGAATGGTCTGCCTCAAAACAAGAGAAGTTCTATTGGGACAGTATCCACCAGTTACCTGACAGATGGGGAAACGTGTAGCTAGCGACGGACATTACTTTGAATGATGCACTTGTTGATGTTTCTCTTGAAATTATCGTGTTTTCTTCGATTACAAAACCCGCACTATTAACCAGTTGATGGTTAATTCTCACTATTAACCGGTATGCCCGCACCTGTTGGAGGAGAGGTCGGTGGCCTCGGGATCTCGGGTGCGGGCTGATTGGTGGGTGTCCAGTGTGCGTGCTCACGGGTGGGATACGGAGCACAGAGCCCCGGTGCCTGGGTCGCGGCCAGCTGGCATGTGTACTGAGCCCGCGTCTCGGGTGGGTTCCCTGCTGTGCGGGACGGTGCCTTGTGTGCGGGGGCCGTGGGGGTGTCAGTGTCCGGGGAACGCGGAAGAGAGTGAGCAAGGAGCCCGCGTCCCGCACGGAGGAAACTCGCGCCTGCGCGGTGCCGGCCCGAACCTGCGCCGCGGCCCAACAGTCAGGAGCCGGGGCCCAGGGCCGCCGGGGCGGGGCCGCGCGCGGGGCGGAGCTTGCGCACTGCCGCCTGCTGGGGCTCGGTGGGCGGGGTGCAGAGAGCGAGAGGAACGCGCCTCCGACCAATGAGCGCTGATTTCGTATGGGGGCGGGCCCGGGACGCCGCGCGCCGGGCCTCGGTTGGCGGAGAGCGGCCGAGGGGCGGGAACAACACGAAGCCCCGCCCACTCGCGCGCGGCAGGGCGGGAGGGCTGCACCCCGGCGGCGGTGTCCGCGGCTCCTGAGGTAAACGGCGGGCGGGGACCCCGGCCCTCGGGCCTCGCTCGGGGAGACGCCCCTCGGGGCGCCTGGGCCCGAGAACTGGGGGCGACGCCTCGTCCGGGCGGCGCCGGGTCCGGGGGGCGCTCCCCAAGGTCACCAGGGAGCGCGGGGAGGTGCCGGGTTTGCGGGACCGAGCCCGCCCCCTCCGGGCTCAGGTGCGCGGTCCCCGCGGGCCAGGTGGCCGGGTCACCGCCCGGAAGAGCGGCTCGGGGCGCTGCCCCCGGCTCCCCGCTTCCTCACGCCGGTTCGGTGCTCGTCCCCTGCGCGGAGGGCCCAGTCCTAGCGCCTGTCACCCTCGGGCCCGGGTCCACGGTCCTGCCCCCCACGGCACCGCCGGACCCTGCCTCCCGCCCCTTCTCCCGGGACACGGAGGGAAGCGAGGCCGAGAGGCAGGTGCTCGGCGGGTCACGAGGGCGGCGGGTCCGGGCGGCCGCGGCGTGGGGGGG